ATATAAACATATTACATATATGGCGTTTAATAATAATTAGATGTATGTAATCGTTTTTCAGGAGAACGGGTCATTTCCGACCCATAGTTCCTTGGAGACTTTTTATCCTCCCGATGAGTAGATTACGATAATAAAAAACTTTGATGAAACTCTTGAAAAAACCGGTCAAGGACAATTTTGTACGTTATTTTTCAAACAGATCTCAACCGATCCGACAATGCAGAATCCCGCTATGGTGGTCGCGACCAATAATTTTGAAACACCCTGTACATAAATACAACCACTAAATGCGTGTCATGTCTGCGTTATGCAATTCGGGCTATAGTCATTATCATCTCTATGGGTAATCGCTACCTATCTATGAGCTACAGTCAGTAATACATTATACTACCATCTCTCATATATTATACAGTTCACTTCTAGCGATCATTTATCGGAATTGTAACATACTCTTACTATACTTCACACATGATTGCTATCTGCCTCAAGTACAAACGCACGAATCGTGCTCATATTACTTGACGCACTATTTTGAAAACTTTATAATGTAATTTTGTACGATACCAATAAAAAAGAAAACATATTACATATTGATGTGTTTCATCTTTGTATTGTCCGTATACATGATTTTTTACTTACATCATGTCGATATACAAAATGGATCACTTAAATGGGATTACCTAAATAACTCCATTGTTTTCAGACATGGATAAAGTTTGTTAATAATAGTTATTCAGTAGTAAGAGAGCCATAATATGATTTTTTTTTTTAGATGGAAAGTTTCGAAGAGTTTAAGACCATTTCTTCTTTTTTAAATGGAATAATTTATTTTTTTATAGCGACACTCTTTATAAAAAAAAAGTACATATGTACGTTGAGAAGCTGTTAGTTTAGAAAATATTTTAATCTTAATTCTGTAAAATCTATCGTATGGAAGATAAGGAAAGATAGGGACAGTATTCTCGTGTTCATACCGTGCTTGTCTCTTATGCATATATTTTACATAATTAAAGTTGAAATATCTTCTAAATTAGTAACTTTCGAATGTCATGATGCATCGATTAATGGATAAAAAAATATATCATTGCATTTAAAAAAGTAGAGGTAATCTTGAAATTTTCGAAATCTCTTTATTTACAAAAAGAAAAATCATTAACTACCAGGTGATCTAATTTAAGTCGTTCACCCTATATTGTAGTATTATAAAAAAAGCAAGAAATAATAGAGACAAAAGAAACATGGAAATGGTAATATCACCTGAAATCCACTAGTGAACTCATCAGTAAGTCAATCTTACAGATTTGCCATACGAATGATAAAAGCGGAATGATAAAATCAGAATATAAAATTACATATATATATATATACTCGCGTCGGAAAGTAAGTTAACGATCAGCGTCGATTAACGATCGCATAAAAATTGAAGAAATTAGTGAAATAATATGTTTGATAAGTTGATTCTTCAAGATGTATATTTAGTAGGGTAATACAGTGAACGAATGGTCATAGAAAAATAACATAATATTTTGCAATTAAGAAAAGGAGAAACAAAATATGCATTGTGACTATAATGATAGGGTCGGAAAGTAAGTTAACGCATCTTGCTTTTTCTAGTATTTTACAATAAATTATATCTCAATATTGTGTATAACAACCTTTTGCGACTATAAGCTCTCGTAGATGGTTTGGTATGCTGTGAATTAATTTTTTTGGAAAGAGGAGAGTCGAGCGAGTTGCAAAACGGAGTGGATGAGAGTCGTTAGAAAACGTTGAGAGGGAACTGTTTAAAAGAGTCGATTGTGTTGTCTAAAGAGTTAATAATGTTCAAAGAGTTTATTTGAGTCGTTAATTTGTATTATTTGTGTTTAATTATTTGTTGTTTGATTATCATTATCAAATAAACATTATTTATATTATATTTCTACAAATTTTATATATATTCTTCTTCTCTATTATGTATCTGGAATTTTTTTCTTTTTTGGAATATTTTTCTTTTAAATCTTTTTGATGAGTTCAAATATATTCATAAAATAAAATATATTGCAATAAAATCAAAATACTAATATATACATAATAAAATAAAATTGAAAATATAATACAAGTGAAAAACATGTTCTAAAGGTTCTAAAAATTCTAGAAGCTTTAATGATTACAAACTTCGGAAACATTGTATAAATGTAATTTGTACTGTGACTTATCTTCTGTA